ATGGTGTCCTGAGAAGATTTTTGAATGGCACAGCCCGCGACGACCGCAAATCGAATAAAGCCCGGGACAAACTGCTGCGGCTATCACCAACCCAGTTCCACGAACTCTCCACCGATGTTTATGACGAATTGATCCGGCGCCAGCAGGCCTCGCCGCCTCCCGGACGGCCACCTCGTCCGGACGTGCCTCCTTACCTCCCCGCCCGCAACGACTTCCACGAAAAGCGCAACCATGCCCGCCAAAGGCTTGCTGCACTTCACCACGTGCGTTTCCGAGATCTGGCGACCGATGTCTTCTGTGAGCTGGAGCGCCGCTTCCCACATTTCACTAGCCGAGATTATCGCGGCCGGCCGCCTCCCAATGTGGGCCCTCCTAGCGCTCGTACCTCGCAGTCTTCTAGAGGACCTCCTTCGCGTATGGGACGAGGGTACCCGTCTGGCGGTCCGCCAGGCAGTCCGTTTCCTCCGCGTACTGGCTCTCTTGGAGGCCCACCGAGTATGAATGGCGATGGACCGTTTCCTCGGTCTTTTCAGAGCAATACCATGGTTCCGAACAAAAGTACGATGGTTGAGGATAGCGATGATATGGGACCCGAGGATGAGGATGATGCTCGGAGTGATGCATTCGCTCTAGACGCTGTTTTGAGCCGACGGGGTACTACAACGACCTTGGGCGACAGTGAACGAAGGCTGTTACTGGAGAGCCAGACACAAGTATCGGTCCTCCAAGAAAAAATTGAAAAGTTGGAAGAATTGGTCCGCTCCAAGGATGAGGAGTTGGCCCAGTCATCACAAGATGCAGATTCCTCCGGGATCAGTCATAACGAACGCCAGGAGTGGGACGACTTACGACACGACCTTGAGAGCAAGGTATCCAAAGCCGAGGATCTCAATAGCTCGCTTCAACTAGAGCTCGAGCGGGTCAGAACCGAGCACGAGACCATGGAGCGGGATCTTCGCAGCCAGCTCAATGACTCTTCCCGTGGTGTCGATGATGCAGGTCTACAAGCGCGCTATGTTGATCTAGAGACTCAGCACCAGAACTTACAAGCAGAGTTGCAGCAGCAGAAACAAGTGACCGATGAGGTCCGTCGCGAGGCATCCGCTTTCCTCATGGAAATGAAGACCCTTTCAGCTGAGAGTCACTCCAATTGGGAGCGCGAAGAACAGCTCTCGAATGAGGTGCACAGACTCGAGGCAGATGCCAACGAATGGAAGCACCGCTACGCCAAGGTCAAGGCGCAGCTACGACATCTTCGTACGTCGTCCGGTGGTTTCGCCGACTCGCGGCCAGACGCAAGTCTTGTTGCCAAAGAGCATGAGTTGGTGCAAGCCGACGGGGTGGTCAAGGATATCCACGTAACGAAGTTCCAGGTGTCCGTAGACGAGCTTTTGCGAGTTGCGCGTTTCGAGGAATCGCATGTGGTACTCCACCAGATCAAGATGGTCATTAGAACAGTCCGCCATATCCTCCAGGACGTGGAATATTCCCCGATCCCGGTGGATGGGTCGGCTACTCTGCGCGCGAAGGTCAAGGGCCAGGTATCTACGACAGCAAACAACATGATCACCGCCACTCGCAACTTTGCCAGCTCTAGTGGTCTGTCTCCGGTGTCTCTCCTTGATGCAGCGGCCTCCCATCTTTGCACAGCTATTGTTGACCTGATACGGGTGGTGAAGATCCAGGCATCGCCTGTAGACGAGCTGGAGGATGAAGGTTATGAGGCGGACGTATCTCAGGAGCAATTCCCTGACTATTTTGATACGTCTGCCAGTCAAAAGCGGATGAGCAACAACTCCGTCTACAGTGCTATAAGTCGCCCGGATGACTCTCAGTACCCTGTGCAGAATGGTGCGACCAATGACCTCAATCATGGCTGGGGGCATGTACAAGAAGATCATGAGGTGTTGGAACTTAAGGTGAGTCGAGCCGAAAAGGACAGTATGGCAACGAATGATTTACTGACGGGTGTTCTAGCTCTATGTCGAGGACCAGACAGATGGCATGGTCCAACAAATTCAGGCTTTGGTGGCCAGTATCCGAGCCGAGGACAACCTGCATACAGTCCAGACACACGTCTCTGCCATCTCGAACGTTGTTGCGAATGTGGTTTCCGCTACAGAGCAGCTGATGCGCGAACGCAGCGGAGACGTTACTTTGCAGCAGACGTCTGAACCGGTCATCGCGGCATTAGACCAGTGCCGCGGCCGGTTGACGGCCACTGCTAGTGAGGGCGAAGACGCCAGCACCCCTGAGCAATTGCGTGAGCTCACGAACAAACTGCCTCCCATTGCATTTGAGATCGCTCGGCAGACCAAGGACCTTGTTCAGCGCCTCGAGGCCACATCGGTAGTTGCTGACGAGGAAGATGACTTCCGGTGATGAGCTCGTTCCGGAGCATGGTCTCTCATGACATGAACTCCGGCCTACCCATTTTGTCTTTCTTCACCCTCAAATTCTTCTTTATATTCCTTCCTCTTTGCCCTTTGCTTTTCAGCGACTATTCATCTATGGCAACGAGTGGACAATGTCGAAATGACGTCCCGACATATGTGGCATTTATAGAGTTTCTTTCCCTCCGTCACTTCTCTTTCTTCCACGTTTTCCTATTCTTTGTACCTTATTTTAGCCCTTTTCTATTGTTCATCTAGGTTTTCGGCCTGATTTTATGTCGATTTATTCCTCTTTTTCTTATCTCACGACCGCTTGCTGGTATCGGGCTGTTATTTCCTTGCATTCGGGATGCATACAGGTGAAATGAAAGTACTCCGTATATCTTCAGCTGACTGACTGTACCAATAAATCAACGCAAGGTTACCCCTTTAAAGGTGCATATCTTCTTGTAGCCAAGACTGCTAGTTCGGAAGGGATATCCCGGAAGACATTACATAATCACCGAGTTAGACGCTTTTTGGCATTGAGCTTCAGTTTTTTCCCTTCTTTACACTTCTTTAATTTGCATTCCTCATCAATTTATATCCTTTGTAAGTGAACTTGGTCCTTCGTTATGTGAAGATTAGAGTGCATTTCCACTTTGCTTCAGACTCTTTCAGAGACATCATTAGACAACAGAAGCAATCATGTTTTCCCCCTGGAGAGTCTGGAGAAGCTCCAAAGTGGAGCCTCAGGCAGAAAGTACACAAGTGGTCTTTATGTGAACCCCAATAAGCTAACCCCAAAGTAGCCCGGCACCCGAGTTCACCCGCTCCGCCCTGCCCCTCACCATGTTCTGCCGACTGAGGTCAATAACCCCACCTTCTTCCCTCTTCTCTTCTTCTCTCTTCAATTGCACTTCTTTCCACCCCGCTGCCCGATCTTTCGCTTCATCAACCGCCGCTATGTCCAACACCAGCGCTTTCTTCGAGGTCCAGTACGTCCCTGTTGGCGCCTCTGCCAGTAAGTTTCCCCATCACCTCTGTTATTCTCATTCCTGGCGGGGCAGAGGGTTTTTACCTCCTCGTCCCAGTCTTACCTTGCTTCCTCCGACCTCCAGCTTTCAATCCTAGTATTAAAGCTTGACAGTCTCACATCATGCTATATTAATTGGAATTGAAATTGATGCTAATTCCCTCATTAGCCAAGACTGGCCGTATCAACTTCAACCTCTTCGCCAACGAAGTCCCCAAGACTGCCAAGAACTTCGCTGAGCTTTGCAACGCCGAGCAGGGTCAGGGCTACAAGGGCTCTTCCTTCCACCGTGTGATCCCCCAGTTCATGCTCCAGGGTGGTGACTTCACCCGTGGCAACGTGAGTTTTCCTTTTCCTAATCCTGATAGTCGCTGGAATGCTCGGTATCTGACCTTTGTTTTTACCGGAATAGGGTACGGGTGGCCGCTCCATCTACGGTGAGAAGTTCCCCGATGAGAACTTCGTGCTCAAGCACACCCGCCCTGGTCTCCTGTCCATGGCCAATGCTGGCCCCAACACGTAAGTCCCAGTCTTTTACCCCAGCTGCTCCACGTACAGAGCCGTTACTAAACTTTCCCCTCTCATTTTCCAGCAACGGCTCCCAGTTCTTCATCACCACTGTTGTCACCTCGTGGCTCGATGGCAAGCACGTCGTCTTCGGCGAGGTCGCTGATGAGGACTCCATGAAGGTTGTCAAGGAGATTGAGGCTCTCGGCTCGTCCTCCGGCTCCATCCGCTCCAACGTCAAGCCCACCATCGTCAACTGCGGTGGCAACTAAAAAGCTCATTATGGAGATTTAGTTGGGTGTTGTGGGAGGATGAACGTCTTTCTTTTCGTGAAATTGTTCTTCCCCAACGCTTCATTGCGGCGTGGGACTAGCATAGGTGGCTTTCCCTTTTGCGCCTTGTAATCTAAAGTTTCTACCAAGCTAGCTCATACATGCCTGTCTATCGTGGGGACATCATGATCAATTTGTGGATTTGTAGTTTGTAAGAACGGAAGGACGCACTTTTGCAAGATACCTAGGTAAAGCCGAGGTTCCAAAACCTGCATCTTAACCTATGCATATTTTTATAAGCTAGGCCACCGCAAAGCACGAAATTGATCGAAATTATCCTATTGCAAGTTATTCCCCTTTCCTTTCCAGCAGAGAATTCCACGTGTCCGTGTCGTGATTCGAGGATTTCAATCGCGAGTCTGCGGCTAACTCCATCACATTACCCCGCGTGGGATGCCAGCTTTTTTCCTTGAGTGGGAAAGGTTTCCAACTCCACTTCCAATAGAAGTTATGTGATATCAATGCTGATTATATGCATAGACTACTGTGAATCTCTTTCATTTATTATTAGAGGGCAATTGAGTAGAGAGAATTGAGAGAGAAGAGAGCGTGCGCCGTGGCATTATGGAAGCGATCAAGAGGCATATGCACGCTGCACAGAAACAAGGGACAGTAAATCTGGACACAAGAAAGTGCATATTGCCCTCTGCCTTTTCGAACAGAAAACAAATATTGGGATATCAAACGCACACAGAGATGCTAGAATCAAACCGCAAATTGGAACGTGAGACAACACCATGCACAGATAGTTGTCTAGCCGCAGCACTTAGTGACAGACGTAGCATCTGACCTGTGGAGGAAAAAGACCATGTTAGCACAGCTAAGGTATAGTTGCTAACGCAGACAAAACAACTTACTCCTTATTCAAGTCCACGGGCTCCCAGGAGAAGATAAACGCGCCCAGGAAAGCACCAATGAAGATACAGATAATGATATACCCATTGAAGTACATAGCAAGCAGCATAATAATATAAGCAACAGCAAATTGCGCCATGTGCAACAAGGAGCGCACAGAATGCTCAACAAGCGACGGACGATACGGGGCGAGTATAGCCTCCTGTCTCTCAATGCGCTGGACTCCATCCCGCACGACATTAGCAGACGCAGCAGCAGATACAGAAGCCTGTTTCTTCGAATCTCCGTTCTGGGGAGAACCTGGCACAGGAGTGATGTCATCTGCACTGGAGAATGTAGAGTCTGGCTCTGCATTGGCGGCGCAGCAGTCGCTAGCCGGCTTGATGTTTCCTTCGCTTCGCAGGGGAACGTTGGAGGTGGATTGCGCGGCGGAAGAGCCGGCCATGTAGAGTCTTCGAAGACGGGCTCGACGCACTATAAACGAGTCGTATTCTCGGCCCAGACGACGGAGGAGCTCAAGACTCAACACGAGACAGATGACTCCAATGCATGAGCCGGCGAACATGCCACGCGATTTTATGTGCCATGATTTGGCGAGGAAGCCTGGTTGGTTAGCTTGGCCTTGCGTAAATACGTAGATTGGGTTATAGGGCTGCGTACATGCGTCAACTGTGTACCAGTTCCAAAGCATCTGATCATGACTGGGTAAGCTTGAGTTCGGTATAGAGTAGGGAACCTGGGATTGATATTAGACGGACCGAGATTTTGCAGCTATTTCCCATGTGCATTCCGCCCATGTCCATTCCGGTGCTGCTGGCCATAGATGCCGAGGCTGTGGAAGTGGCCGTTGACATGGTCATTCCGTGCATATCGTGCATATCCATGATCGACGGTTGACTGGGGACCTTAGGAGGAACGAATTAAGATAATGTCGAGTTGATCAAGTCAAAATCAAAATAGAAAGTAGTACAAAATATAAACAAAGGGATATAAAGAATAGAATAGAGGTCCCCAACCATGTGATGCCCTAATGAGAGCAATATGAGCAGATTTATAGATTTTGGCCCTAAGAAAGTTGAGGTGGTTTGAGCAAATTCTCTTGGCCGTAACTGGTGACATTAAACGTAAGACAAGGGTATCAACTTGAACTATTTTGAATCTCCTTTTGGGTTTTCTTTTCTTTTTCTTTTTCTTTTTTCTTTTTCCCTTTCTGCGTCACCAACGCGATCCTTTGATGACACCTTCCAACAACTCGCGGATTTGACTGCACCCATCGATCCCGACCGCCAACATTGTCTCCAGGTACGTAGCGTGCACTTTAGATTCCATAGTAAGCACACACACCTTCATTGCCTCTTCATCCTCATCCATATTGTTCTCGCCAACGGGCACCGCTGTCGTCGTCGCCACAGTGAGCGAAGGCAGTTCCTGTTCTTCCGGAAGCGACAGGTCCAGCAGCGGGTCAAGCTCGTCGTGTCGCGGGTCACGCGGTGTAGAAGCGCTGCCACTCATGCCGGAAGTACAGCCACAGAGTAGTCCCGGCATCGGGATTCCGGCATCCACGAGCGCTAGCGTACAGGCGTTGATCGCCGCGGCGAGCAAGGAGCCATCTGCAGAGAGAACAGAGACATGGATGCTGATTGTGCTGTGGGGATAGAGGTATGTGTGGAGATGAGACTGGAAAGCTGAGCGGAGGGTTGTAGCGATTCGCGATGATTGTCTGTAGTCCCGGGACATTAGCATTGGCTAAATCTGTATTCGGTCTGCTGCTCCTGTAACTCTCGCCCTGTGACAGGAGGAGATAATGGGAGAGTGTAAGGGGTTGCATACCTGTCACTTCCACCGGCTCTCCGCTTGCGATCTACACCGGCAAACCCGGCGACGTTGACGTCTACTTCCACGACGGCGTGGCCACTTCCTGCAGGTCCGCCGTCTCCTCGGCGACCCTCGGCAGGGCCGTGGACAGAGCACATGATTGATGTGTTGCCCATGGACAGATATGAAGAGCCGGAACTAGCGGGGTTGGTTGAGATCTGGGCTTGGAGCAGGCGGAGTTCGTTCCAGCGGCGGCCGTCAAGGCGCAGCCGCGTCAAGGGATATGTCGTCGAGGTGTCCAGCGGCATCTTTGCGGGTTAAGCTTCTGATAAGAACGAGAGTTCTCTTGAGCGAAAAGAGGGTATGTCAAGCAGGAATTCAAGCTTTATTTTGTGTCGTCCTCTGTGGGCTTAGGTCAGTCTGGTGTGTCTTGATTGAGCAATGACAGAGGTAGAATATTGTTCTCGACTTACGTTGGCTTTATCGCATATGTAAAGAATCGAATATGCCAAGCCAATGAGAGCATCTTTTCTCTGGTTCTCGTGCACGTGACCTGATAGAACAACTATAAATTCGGAAAGAATGATTTCAACCGCTACTTTGAGCGCACGGGAGGTATCGACAGACACTCATCTACTTTCTAATTTGGAAGACGAAACAGAGTACTGAAACCTATGCCAGAGAATATTTAATTGAAACTATCTTGAGCGAACAGATTCAACTTTGCTTGGTGGCCGTTATTGCTTTCCGCGCTGACGCTGTGTCGCGACAGTCTGGTACTCCCACTTCGACTTACGCTCTGTCACTCTTTGAGCTCTTTTCTCAGAAATGCGAGAACATGGCTAATAATGAGAACAATAACAAGGCCATCACCATCGATTCAGACGATGACGACTTGGAGGTGACGCACTATGCAGCTCCAACCACTAGCAGTATGACACCTCTTCGAGGCGTCTGGCAGATAGCTCACATCCTCTCTAGGCAGGGTTTCCGGTGCGAAACACGGAGCTTCCACTCCGGTTAAGCTCGAGCCACCACGTACTCTTCTTTCCGGGTCATCAAGTGCTGTAAATATAGAACCCGTGGACAGCGATGAGGAGGACTGCAACGATGGCGAGCTAGCATACAAAAAGTTCAAGGAACGCAAATCCCTCAAGCGCAAGCAAGATGCTGCAGCAACCCGCAAGGCCAAAATGCCCAGGGGAGATCCAATCGTTGGTCGAGTAAAAAAAGAGCGACCAATACCTCAACCTAAGCGACCGTTGAAACAATGGGGCGTGGTATCTTCGGAGGATGAGATGATGGAAGATACCTTGCCTGGATATCTGAAAACCCGCCGCAGCCAGTTCGACCGGAAGCGTGATCGTCTAAAAGAGCATGGGCTGAAGCTACCACCGACTTACGAGGATGTGGAGTTCTCGGATGACGAGCGACTCGAAGAACTGCAAGAACGACCTGTTTTTCCGGAGAGCACCCGAAAGCAAGAGTATAAGGATATTGAACTTCCATATTCGATGGGTATTATTCCCGCCCCGATCGCCCAGTGGTTGCGGCAGTATCAAGTGGAGGGAGTCGCGTTTCTCCACGAGCTGTTTGTGTATCAAAAGGGTGGTGTCTTAGGAGACGACATGGGTCTCGGAAAAACTATCCAGGTGATTGCTTTCTTGACCGCCGCCTATGGAAAGACCGGGGATGAACGGGATGCAAAGCGCATGCGAAAGATGCGCAGATCTGATGACAGCGCGTGGTATCCACGCACGCTCATCGTGTGCCCGGGGAGCCTTATCGCAAACTGGAGGGCCGAGTTTGCCTGCTGGGGGTGGTGGCACGTCGATAGCTATCACGGGGAGAACAAGGACCTTGCCCTCGATGCGGCAAAGTCAGGGAGGGTGGAAATCCTGATTACAACCTACACCACTTACATGAACAACAAAAACGCGGTCAATATGATTGAATGGGACTGCGTGATTGCAGACGAATGCCACAAGATCAAGGAGCGCAAGTCGGGAACCACTCAGTCTATGAACGAGATCAATGCGTTGTGTCGGATAGGGCTCACTGGCACGGCCATCCAGAACAAATATGAAGAATTATGGACCCTTCTCAACTGGACGAATCCCGGTGTTCTGGGTCCGCTAAGCACCTGGAGGGCACAAATATCGGAACCACTGAAGATCGGACAATCACACGATGCCACTCTGAGCGAGCTCAGCAGAGCACGGAGAACAGCCAAGAAGCTGGTTGAGAACTTACTTCCACAATTTTTCATCAGGAGAATGAAGACCTTGATCGCGGATCAGCTGCCAAAAAAGATCGATCGAGTTGTCTTCTGTCCTCTGACTGAGACACAAGCGGAGGCCTACGAGAATTTCCTTGACAGTGAAATTGTCGATTATATCAAGACATCTACAGAACCATGCGATTGTGAGTCGGGCAAGAAGGCCGGCTGGTGTTGTCGCCGCTTGATCCCCGATAGGGACCCTCCAAACTGGCAATCCTATGTGTTCCCTGCTATCAATGTTCTTCAAAAGCTCAGCAATCATCTAGCAATCCTGATCCCACAAGGAACAGATCCAAAAGATAAGCAGGGAAAGGATAGAGATTATCTGGAACTTGCGCTGCCTGAACAATGGGAAGATCTTTATCGCTCGCGCGACTCGATCGTCAACTATGCGAACCCTGAGTTTTGCGGCAAGTGGAAGGTTCTGCGGAAGTTACTTAAGTGGTGGCATTCGAATGGAGACAAAGTTCTTATCTTCTCGCATAGCGTGCGTCTTCTCAAGATGTTGCAAATGCTGTTTCATCACACTAGCTACAACGTCAGCTACTTGGATGGATCTATGAGTTTACAAGACCGTGCGAAAGCTGTAGACGAGTTCAATGCCGACTCGCGACAGTTTGTTTTCCTAATATCAACCAAGGCTGGTGGCGTTGGATTGAACATCACCTCGGCGAACAAAGTGGTAGTCGTCGATCCAAACTGGAACCCTTCCTACGACTTGCAAGCCCAGGACCGGGCCTACCGCATAGGTCAACTTCGCGACGTGGAAGTCTTCCGGCTGATTTCTGCCGGCACGATCGAAGAAATCGTCTACGCTCGACAGATCTACAAGCAGCAACAGGCAAACATTGGGTACAAGGCAAGTTCCGAGCGTCGGTACTTCAAAGGCGTGCAAGAAAAGAAAGACAAAAAGGGTGAGATCTTTGGCCTGAAGAATTTCTTCGGGTATCAGAACACGAACATCGTTCTGCGCGACATCGTCAACAGAACAAATGTCGCTGAAAGCCGTGCCGGGGTACATGTGGTCGACATAGATCTCAAAGCAGAAGAAGGCCACGACTACACCGACCGACCAATGAAATCCGAAGACGAGGCAATGAGCCAACTCGCGGCGATGATCTGCGGCGATGATGATGATGATGAAAAAGACCACAAGCCTTTAGCCAGTCTCGCAACCCCGCATAAACATGACCCCGTTCAAGCGATTCTCGCAGGAGCAGGCGTGGAATACACCCACCTCAACAATGAAGTGATCGGTTCCTCGCGTGTCGAGGAAGACCTCAGTCGTCGTGCTGAACTGGCTCCAAATGACACGACAAGTGACCGCCAGGTCTTCATGTCCTCGCAGCCTTTCTCTCAGCCGGCAGAGGACCCTATGCGGTTCAAATATCATCCTCCGGAGGATGTCATACGTCGCCAATTCTGTAGTATGGCGCGGCGGTTTGGATACGCCGATGCTACGGAGTTTGCGCTCGTTGTCGAGGGCATGACCCAGGCGCAGCGGAGAGCTTGTCTCGACCAGTGGTATGGAGAGAGGAGGGAGATACTACTTTCTTCGGACGAGAACACTCTTAAAGAGGAGTTGATCAAAGACGAACAGTTTCCTAAGGAGATGGATGTTAAAGATGAACGGATCAAAGATGAGAAGGGCCCCAAGGGGGAGAGTCCCGGTCTTTGAGTGGTTTTCCTTTTCTTGCTATTCCTTCTTGCTCGATACCCCTTTCTAGTTGTAAGCATCCATTAAATAATGCGATATTTGACCATACTCGCTAAAATAGTTCATCTGGATAACATGGAACTGCAAATCATTGGTCTTAAACCATTCTCTTAGGATGGCTGTAAGTAAATAGATATCCATACGAAGATGGCAACATATGCAGGGAACTAAAGCCAGGCTAAAGTCCACAGTGCTGGCAAATTGGGATATTTTTCTTGCCAATCCGCCAATATCTCAGGGACCTTCTCGTCGAAGCTCTGGCGCGCGGGACCAGTCCCGTTTTCCCAGCCCTCGGAGCCATGAACACGATGCTCAGCAACAGCAGCCTCATTCAGACGATTGGCCAGATCAAGAATCGCCTTTCCGCCGGTCAAGGCCTCCTCATGGTTATCCTTGATATCGACATTGAAGACATGAACGGGGTAATTGAGCGCGGTGCCCTTATTCATCAGATCATCGACAACAGCATCCCAGCAGCGTTCCTCACAGGTGATGATGACATCCACGACACCACCCTCCGTTCCGATCGCACCCTTGTCGCCCTTGGAGAGGTGGTCGACGCGCGGGACGCCAGGCACCCAGTCCTGGAACCGCTCGGGCCCCCACTTCAGCTGGCGGTTGCGGTCGAGCATGTTCAGGATGCCGTTGCTGCGGTATAGACGCTCGTCTTTGCCGGAGAGCTCCTCATACATTTGGTTGTAGGAAGTTGTGTTGAAGCTGTACACGTTTGGTTGGGTAATTGATGGGCCCGGGAGACGGACGAGGGAGCCTGTGCCGAAGGATATCACGGGGAAGGCTGTTGGGGCGCCTGAGAGCTGGAGGTGAGCTTCCATTGAGCGGTTGTTGTTTGAGGCGCAGACTGTGCAGAACTTGAGCTTGTACGAGTCTGTGGCCGCGCTGGCCGGGTTGGCTGTTTCTAGGGCTTGGGCTGTTGAGGCCATGTCGGCTTGTGTGGATGTCTCTGGGGGTGGAGGGGGGGGAGGAGGAGGTTGTGGAGTTGAGGTTCCCGAGTTTGTTCGGCGGGGATCATATGCCATTTTGAAGGGGAGACTATGGAAATGATAATAGAGAGAGAGACTAAGGGGTTGTTGTTTCTAGGTATTTGGGAGCCGATGATCATGGGGGTTTCTTGAGTTTACAATATTCTGTTGACTATCAGAAGCAGTTAGTGACTGATTTGAAATGGTCCTCTTGTGACATGAGATGTAGAAACACAAGTTCAGAAAAAAAAGCGTATATGAATTTATCCGCATAGCAAAAGCTCAGACAGCTCCAATAATATATTCATCAGGTTGTGGGAAGGAGAAGGCGATACAACACACATACCTTGCAGTTATCACTCATTATCCAGTTCAAATCATTATGGGGCCGTAGCCCTGGGAGAGGAGAGAAGAGCAAGTTTGGTGGAAGTTGAAAAGCTTCGTTTTGGGTGTCCTAGCTTAGTCAGTGAGTTACCGCTTATTCTTCCGCCTGGATAGAAGAGATAGCCGGAGCTCATATTCTGCCAGACAAATATTATTGAGCTTATCGTACATATGTAATGTTGAACACATCGTCCTTTTTCTTTAAATATCTATATCCGATAAGGTCTCTACTCCCTTTCTTTTATTCATAAGGTAGCAATCAGACTCTACCATTACTAAAGTTTTAATACTCCCACATAATTCCGTCCATATCCTCCATCAAAAGTTCTCTACTCCCACCAGCTCAAAAATGGCAGCAAATCGTACTATCAGGCCAGCCCTGATTGTTGTGGACATGCAAGAAGATTTCTGCCCTCCAGTAAGTTGGATAGATACAATAGAAAAGCCATACACGCTAATGAACAGAGTAGCATGGGTCACTCGCCGTGGCAGGAGGCCGCGGCATTGCCTCGATAATCAACACTTTACTTGCAAAGCCAGGATTTGTTGCGCGCATCATGACCCAGGACTACCATCCAAAGGACCATATCTCATTTGCCAGTAATCATCCAGGGCCTGACAATCAGCCCTTCTCTTCCTTCGTCACAATGAAAAATCCCGCTCCGGGAAAGGAATCAGAAACAAAACCACAGCAACTCTGGCCCGTCCACTGTGTGGCTGGTACCCCCGGCGCAGAGATTATCCGAGAGATTGAAACCTCTAGCGAACATATAGTTGTTCAGAAAAGCATGCGCCCCGAAATCGAGATGTACTCGGTGTTTGCGGATGCTTTCGGAAACTGTGATCATGGAACCAACGCACATTCGGTCAGCCTAGATGTTGCCGCTGTTCTCAAGAATGAAGGCGTTACCGACGTATTTGTTGTGGGCTTGGCTGGGGATTACTGCGTTAAGGCTACAGCACTTGATGCCGTCAAGGTTGGATTCAGAAGCTGGGTTGTCGAAGAGGGAACCAAGTGTGTCGTACCTGCTAATTGGGATGCCATTAAGGAGGAACTTGGGACTGGCGGAGTGTCTATTGTCTCTATGAATGACCCCATTATCGGGGATCTGTGAGGGAAGCGCTGAATGTCTCATTTCTTCTCACCCTCCGTTGACCACGAGGTATTCAGTTCGCCACCCCTTGTTTTGAATATAGATTCAAGTTCCATGCTGAGCGGCCCTAAGTCTTGTGCTTTGTCTGTTTCGTAGGTGTCATGGTAGTGCTGTAGATGGATGCAATGTATTTCACGTGGATGTGTTACTATACCCTGTGTGATGATATCCTCCTATTCCACAGCCTGTAGTTTAAAGAGAAATAAATCACATCCCAACGCCTGATGTGTATATTCAAAACAATTTCCAATGTTGATACGGAGTACAAAGTACCCAATATGTCAGTGTGGGTACGTGATCGACAAGCAACTGCCAGAACCGTTTCGACTTCATCCCCCTTTCCGCACTACTGCAGAGTGACGTCGTGTCGAGAAGGAGATTCACCACTCAAAACTCGAACATAGACATCATTTTTTACTACCGACTGAACTAGATCAGTTGGGAACTCAATCTACTCGCGATGCTGCACTCTAGGCAGCCATCGATGCCCGCCCCAATCAGCGCCCTTGACAAGAAATCGACCGATGCCGAGGCCGATGCCAACGCGGCCCTACGCTTCCAAGATCAGGGTCTACCCTCCGAAACCCTCCCATACTGGCTCGTTAATTTACCTCGGTCGCAATGGACCGCCGAATGTCCTAGCTTTCTACGTGATCAATCTCCGAAGAATATTCAATGCCTCTCGACCCCTGATCACCTGTATACCCGGCAGACCTGGGAGCAAGTGAAGGAGATCATAGGTTGAGTACAGCTGGTCATTAGTGATATTACTCAACTGACTAACTACAACTTGTAAACCACAGGAACCAACCGGATCGATCGGTTCCAGCGTGTCCCAAGCGAGCTACGCAGGTATCTAGAATATATGGCGCACATCAAGGCGGAGCATACATCCGTCATGGGGTTTGTGGTCAAAGAAAGGCTGGGCTGGGGGGATGGCAATTGGGAAGACCTCAAGCCTAGAGGCGGTCCTTTTGAATACGAGGGTACATGTCACCGGACTGGGTCTAGAACACATGGAATACTAATGATTATATAGAGGACATCCGAATCATATACAACGACTGGCCATATGGTGTCGACAAGGACATCATCCACCTGGTAGTGTGGACTAAGTTTGAGCTGCAAGATGACCCAACCACAGACGACCTAACGGCAAGCGCACGAGGGGCTATCGAGAGCTATGTGCAGGACACATTTCGCTCTCGGGTACCACCCGAACAGGTATGGGAGATAGTCAGTATTGGTATGATGAAAAGCTGACAACATAGGTGGTCTGGTTCAAGAACTGGAAGTCACTGAAGTCGGTCCCTGGGATAGAACACTTCCACGTCATGCTGCATCATCCCGATATGGCATTTGTTAGGGAGATCACCCGCGGAGATGTACCACTGATCGAACGGCTATGATGTCTTGTGTTTGACTTGAAGATAGAGAGGAGATAAATAAAGAAAGAAAAGATTCTCCTTTTCCCTGTATGCTATAGAAAGTAGTTAGGCACCAAGCATATGCAGCCTATACGAATACGGAAATGTACTTCCTTATTGAACCCGCCAAGCCATTCCCCTCATTGACGATCTTTGGGAAAGGTTGATGGAATATAACATACAATGTTGTATACAAAGAGAGCTGGATATAATCTTGAACCCGAATACTCAAGAGGATGAGAAAGGGACATACATACATATCTAGTTACCTATATACCTAATAGGCAGTGAAATAAGCAGCTGATCCTAGTAAGGAAAATACGTCAGCCCCTCCTCGAAGCTAAGCATTGTACAGAGTAATTTGTATGTCGAAATATTTTTAGTGTGCTTTTTTAGTGTCTTTTTTAATGTCTGTTGGTTTTTTGAACTACACAATTTCTTTTTCTTTTTCCCTCTCCATAGTAAAAAGCCCGTTTCCGGAATTTCCGCCACAAGTCAGCTGTCTTGGTTTTCTATTTATTTTTTTTATTTTCTTCTTCTTTTTATTTTGTAAATGCCTTAGGAATCCCGTATAATTCCCATTTCCGAACGCAGTCATGCCGGTCCATCTCCGCCGTGCTTCCCAGGCCAGTGAGTTTGTCTTCCTCAATTCTTATCTTGTCATACGTTCGACAATATCAACATGTCAATTAACGCAGATCCAGGCAGATCATCCATGGAAGACTCCCCGCCAAGTGGGGAGGATGAGGTTGTTGAGCCAGACCAGGGAAATGGTGCGTGTAAATCCTCAATAACCCCGGACACACAGCTGACTTGATATGACTTCGTAGTTCTTTCGCATATCATTTCTCAGCTACGGCCTGGTGCCGACCTGAGCCGGGTTGTGTTGCCGACGTTCATCCTCGAGCCCCGGTCAATGCTGGAGCGGATCACCAAGTGCGTTTACACCCCGCAGCTGCAAGTAGGCTTGGAGCTACCTGCTACGATTTGGATAAATCGACTAACACAAGTGTTTCCATAGCTTCATGGCCCACCCTGAAACCCTCCTCCCTATGTCAGGGATTGAGGACCCGGTCGAGCGCTTTGTCTCCGTAGTCAAATTTTACCTGAGTGGATGGCACATCAAACCACCGTATGTCCCGCTTGCTGTTTGTCTAGGAACACAATCTGATACCTGCACAGAGGGGTGAAGAAGCCACTTAACCCCATTCTTGGAGAGACCTTCACCTGCTACTGGGACTACGCCGACGGAACCCGCGCCTACTACATCTCCGAACAAACATCCCACCACCCGCCGAAGTCGAGCTATTTCTTTGCAGCGCCGGAGCATAAGATTCGCATTGATGGAACACTCAAGCCCCGCAGCAAGTTTTTGGGCAACTCCGCAGCCAGTATTATGGAGGGTATCGCTATTTTGCGGCTGATGAACCACGGGGATAAAGAAAAGGGCGAAAGATAGTATGTTGCGCTGGTCCCTACAGACCTTGCAGGCACTGACAAAAGCCAGTATCCTGACCCAACCGAATATGTATGCCCGCGGCATTCTTTTCGGGAAGATGAAGTATGAGCTTGGCGATCACAGCTACGTCCGTTGTCCCGAGAACCACCTCGTGGCTGATATCGAGTTCAAGACCAAGGGATATTTCTCCGGTACTTATAACGCAATTGGGGGAACTATCAAAAATGAACAGACTGGGGAGGTGTTATATGAACTCTCCGGACTGTGGAATGGAGAGATGGACCTGAAAGATGTTCATGTACGCTCCACATACCTCCAAGGTTACTTGCGGATTCAACGCTGACCGAGAACAGACCCACAAAAAAGATGTCTTGTTTGATGCAACACACGCCAAGCATACAGCTCCTTTGGTCCGACCCATGGAGGAGCAAGGAGAGCGGGAATCGCAGCGGTTATGGCACAATACGGTTCAAGCGATTTTGGCCCGGAACCATGAAGCTGCAACGGACGAAAAGAGCAAGATCGAAGACCGCCAACGAGACGAGGCCGCAAAGCGTACCGATGACGGAATCGAGTGGCGTCCTCGGCTTTTCCGTCCCATCCAAGGCGGACCGGGTGGGCCAGATGAGGGCGAAGAAGACCTCGACTGGATCATCAACGCTCAAGTGTAAGAACGACTACTCAAATGCTAAAAGATTATGACTGACAGTCCCAGCGACATGCACAATCCCCAGGTCGCCACCAAGCAGATCCTATCAATCGTCCCCATCCTCCAAGGTCAGAAGGAGTCATCCCAGTTTCAGATCCCGCCGCATCACCCCCATCGTGCCGCTTCCGCGAACTAGGACCCCAGGCATATCCCTCCACAACCAGCTAATGCCGCACCCGCAGACTCCGAGACAAAATCAGATGCCACCCAGAGCACCGTGGAATGGTCAGATAATCAAGCATCAGAAGCGGAGAAGTTTGTAGACGCCCAGGAAACCTCATAAGCACGAAAAAGCCCCATTGCGTCCACCTCCAGCCCCATCCATGCTATCATCGACCTAATCCAAACCTGGTCGGTTACTCAGGTCGCCTTTTCTCTCATCTCTCACCTCTGAATGATTCCGGAGTGTTATCACACTCCCTATCATCTCTCATTCTGCCATGACGTAGTCAACCTGCGCAGAAATACCCAGCACAGCCATAACTCGAGGCGGCCGACGACACGACTCTTTGTGATAGTTTCCCCTCTCTGCCCCTCTGATGTTTCAACACAGCGTTTTTCTCGGTCACCATGCCGCTCCCATTGCTGGATACCCGATCTGATTTTATTTAAAAATTCAAATTCTCAAAATACTTTTCTGAAATCTCAGCTGAAAATGAGCGCATCCCTAAATGGGAGATGGAAGAGGTATATAGTAAGATTTAATACAGCGTAAATGAGACAATAGTCACACGGAGAATATGAAAGAAGTTGGGAATTATCCTTTGCATTTTATACACTTACGACCTAGTATTTTAGACTTTCTGGTATATCTCCCAGTTCACACTCACCTCGTGGTATCCAGGATTCTAGCCTCTCTTATTCAACTCCATACATAGTACGTATTGACTTTTGATTAAATTTGTATCTTCTGTCCATTACTATACAAGGCTCTCCTAGAAGAGAGGGATATCACGATAGATGGCAACCTATGCCACCAAATATTACCCTACAAAGACAACCGAAACTCCCTCTGCTATCCGAATACATACAAAACGCCGCGTCAAACCATGCTTTGCTCCTGGGAGGACCTACCCATCGCAAAGCTCAAAGCTCATGAATACAACTCTCCCCTGGATCCAGCCCCACGCTCCAGATCCCGCCGCCGGTTAGACCGCGGGATAGCGCCAGCAGAGCCAGTATAGGCCAAGCCAGAACCAGCTGCCGCCGCAGACGCAGCAGCCATCGATCCACCACCCTCATACTCCTCCCTCTCCTCCTCAATCAGAAGCGTCTGCTCCTCGATCTCCTTCTCGGTATCCTCACGCAAACCCAATATATCCGGCGGGATAAAGCTCATCTGGACACTGGGTGCGCCCTTGATATATCTCAGCTGCTCATGGACAGCCTCAACAAGGCCCTCAAGGTAGGCACGAGTATTCTTATTCTCAAGCTTGCGCATCTCAGACAGGGGCGGGAAGAGCGAGAAATCAGGACCGAAGTGGTTTCGGAAGGCGACAGAGTCCGGGATGGTGGGGTTGATAACGTCTTCTGCCTCGAGTAGAATCGAGGTCTCGTGCGCCCATGCGCGGGAGACGTTGCGCGGCGTGTAGCCCCCGCCGCCAACGACCAGCAGAGGTAGCCCGAAGGTCTTGGTGTATGCGACGCAGGCGCCGTGCGCGCGCACGTTCAAGTTGAAGCAGCCTAGTCGATCGCAGCCCAGACTGTCTGCGCCGCATTGCAGAACGATTGCGCCTGGTTGGTAGGTCTTCGTACATGCGCCGATTACCTCTTTGAAAAGCGCGATGTAGGACTCGTCGTCGATGCCGTCGTTGAGCGGGACGTTGATGGCGTGGTGGGCGCCTGGGTTGAGCGGGTGTGCGGGGCCAGTGTCTTCGCGTGCCCCGGTACCCGGGAAGAAGTTGTCTTTGTCGTATTTGTGGAAGGAGACTGTGAGCACGCGGTCGGTTGACCAGAAGGCTTGCTCGACGCCGTCGCCGTGGTGCACGTCGATGTCGATGTACATGACGCGTGGGTGGTGGCGGAGGAGTTGGAGTGTGCCCAGGACGATGTCGTTGACGTAGCAGAAGCCGCTGGCTTCGGCCTTTTTGGCGTGGTGGAGGCCGCCGGACCAGTTGATTGCGATGTCGGATTGGTCGTTGCAGAGCTTGCGCGCGGCGTCGACTGTGCCGCCCGCGTAGAGCGAGCAGTAGCTGTACAGACCGTCGAAGATGGGGCAGTCGTCGCCGAAGTTGAAGCGTACCACGCTATCTGCTTGCTCGGGCCGGTCCATGTCGCCGGGCATGATCTGTTGCAGGAAGTCGAGGTAGTCTCTCTCGTGGAAGTCGGCCATTTCCTCATAGGTCGCTGCGCGCGAGAGATACAGGTCCATGGCGTGGTGCATGCCGTACGCCATGACGAGCTGTTTGGTGAGCGTGAGGCGCCATGGCTTCATTGGATGTGACTGGCCAAAGTGGTGGGGCTCGACGGCTGGATTGGCGTGCCATGATACCCGGTAGCCTTGTGGACGAGCTATCTGTAAGTTCTGAAGCTCGGCGGTGGACTTGTGGTCGATGGTGACAGTCGGGGCGGAGGGTGATGCATATTCTTGAACGACGGATGAGCGAGCCATCGAGGTAGGTATTTGGTAAGACCGGGAATTAAAGAATTAGCGCCGAAACGTTCATTTTACACGGGATGAATGGAATTCGAGATGAGACCGGAGGAAGTTGCTGACTAAGCAGATCTGCGGGGCCATCCATGGATGGATCATGCGTGTTCTATAAAACGGAGAAATAGGAAGGAACAGGCAAAACAGGAAGGAGCAAAGGAGGT